AGCTTAGTGGTGGCGGGATCAAGACAGCGGAACCCTTTATGAACAGGACTATAACCCAAAAAAATATAAGGAATGCTGCGGGGAGAAAGTTTGTTAGGCATATAATCACGCAAATAAGGATAAACACGACAACCAAAGGGATGAAAATTGTCATAATGTGGAGTGTAGCCATAAAGGAGTTCAAAGGGTGACTTACCTCCAAGAAGTGGAGTAGGCAACCGGTTGATAATATAAGCTGCAGTGCTGAAGGCGTCAACCCAAAAACGAGGAGAAAGATGAGAGTGAACGAGAAGGGCCAAGCCAGTCTCAGTCACATGACGATGTTTTCTCTCAACACGACCATTATGAGCAGGTGTATATGGACAAGAGAGTTGATGGTGGATGCCAGAATTAAGTAAATGAGTTTTGAAACAAGTACTAGTAAATTCGGTACCACCATCGCTTTAAAATACCTTGATACGAGAAGAATATTGATTTTCCACAAATTTTTGAAATTGAAGAAAATATCAAAAAAATTAGATTTAAATTTTAAAGGGTAAAACCAAGTGAATCGAGAATAATCATCAATAAAAATAGCATAATAAAGAAAACCCGAATTTGATTTGATGGGAGAAGGACCCCAAAGATCCCAATGAATAAGATCTAACACATGAGACGACCTACGTTCATTGCGGGAATAAGGCAATCGATGACTTTTCGCAAGCTGACAAGTATTACATAATGATGGAGAAGGCAATAAAGACGTAAGAGAAAGATGACCTTTTTTATTTAAAAAAGAAATAACAGAATGATTCACATGACCCAGACGAGCATGCCATAAATCATATGAAGCACGTAAAGATTTGTTTTTAAGGGCTGAAATAAAAGCAGAGTTGCCGCGCTCCAGCACATATAGCCCTCCATCTCTTTTACCGGTTGCCACCACCCTTCCTGTTTGATGATTCTGGATAGTAATTAGATTATTAGTAAATGTAACGGAGAGAGGAAAATCAGACGTTAATTTACTTATGGAAAGAAGATTTTTAGTGAGGTGAGGGACAACCAAGACATCTAATAAGTGAATATTTGGAACATGAGAAAGAGTACCGGTGTGGGTAATGGGTAGGGATGCACCGTTTCCTACGATCACAGAGTCCTTACCCATGTAATTTTTAGACTGATCTAGAATTGATGGGTCGACAGTCATATGGGCCGAAGCTCAAGTGTCTAGAAACCAATCAGCAGCATCGGGTCCAGCAATAGAACATGACGTGTTAAAGGCTTCAGCAAGGTGAGCATGAGAAGAATCAGGTCGAACATACCGTTGGTTGCAGCGGTCAGCATAATGGCCCTCTTTGCGGCATATTTGGCAATGAGGTGGTCGACGACCCTGACTTGAGTGGGTTCGTCCTCGATTAGAAGAGTTGTTTTTGTGAGAATAAGAACGACCTCGCTGGTTGGTAAAGGAAGCAGGGTGACTTCCATGGGTGCGACCACGATTAGTGGCTGTGAATGCTGTAGGAGTGGAGTCAGAGGACTCAAGGGAGCGCTGGAACAACTCAAAACTTTCAGTTTTAGAGACTAGATGTGCAAAACAGGGGATAGGGGTGAGAGCTATCTGAGCAGTAGAAAAAGCTGAAAATTCGGTGCCGAGTCCACGAAGGAACCAGTGCACTTTATCAATGTCCTCGACGGGTCTGCCAATGGCATGAAGTTGGTCACAATTTTTTTTTGAAGGTACGGGCATACTCAGCAACAGGTTTTGTGCCACGTTTCATCAACTGCAAGTCATCCTTGAGTCTCAGTTCATGAGCTTTTGACTGATGGCTGAACGTAGTTTCCAACGCAAGCCAAACATCACGTGCAGTAGAGAGACCAACGACAACAGCCATGGCTTCCTCAGTGAGAGAGGAGAGCAGGAGACAGAGAAGTCGTTGATCGGCTGCTCTCCATGCCAAATATTTGGGGTTGAATGTTGAGGAGGTTTCTGGTTCAAAGCGAGGTGGTGGAACCATAGTTCCATCGACATAGCCCAGCATGTCTTGACTCTCAAGGAGAGGGAGAAGTTGGCTTTTCCAAAGAAGATAATTGGAGGGAGAAAGTTTGATGGTGATCATATGGATTAGAGTATTGAAAGGAAGAAGATGATAACAAGATTCGGAAGCCATAGAGAAGAAAGGATCAGGGTTGTTAAACCGAAAGGGCTCTGATACCATGTGAATGTTTGATTAATCCACCACACCCAAATGGTGGTGAGAGTTCTCTTATTTATAATCATTTACAGAATACAGAAATAAGGTAAATTACAAATATAAGGAAATAGCGATAAAAGGAAAGAATAATAAATGAATACAATATATTTGCATTTAATAAAAGGGCAAATATGGTAACCCGTAATGTAAGGCAAATATCTAATATTTGCTTTATAATGAACGGTCAACTATCCTTAACAAGTTCAGAATTGATTTAGAGTTTTTTGATGCACCTCCTTGAAATTGGAATGTTAATTAGTCATGGCCGACGAGTTTATGGTCCTCTGAGCCCCAAGGGAAGGAATGCTGGTTGAGACGAGTTGGGTGATCTATTTTGTCTGTATGGGCCTTGTGTTGGAAGAAGGAATAGTGAAAGAGATATGAAAAGATAGAATCGATGAAAGCTGCAGTGCTTTATTATTGTCTACTGACTTGATGCTCAGAGAGTTACACAATTCCAGTATTTATAGCTTATACACTGGACCAGAAATAGTAAATCATGGAAATCTAGATAAATTCAAATCTACTAACAATCTCCTAAAATCTTGGTAATTTGAATATTTGAATCATATCTCAACTACTTTAAATCATATCTTCATTTTGAATACTTTGAATCATATCTCAACACTCCCCCTTGATTCAAAGTTGCAGATGTCAAGTACAGAACTTTTCTTTTGACAAGGCCTTCGTAAATATTTCTGCTTTAACTCGTACAATGTCTGTCTCAGCTTGTATACCTTTGTTTCTTTGTCTTCCTTTATGAATCCCTCTGACGGTGTTACATAAACCTCTTCTTGTAAATCTCCATAAAACTTTTCGTTTGGTAGGTCAACCATATCCCATGTTCCATCTTTCTTAATGGACTGCATCTCTACTGCCATGGCTTTCTTCCCGTCTTCTTTTTCAGTTGCTTCTTCATAATTCATAGGGTCTGAAACAGGAAGAGCAAATTGACATGATGCATATATGTGAGCTAAAGATTTATACTTCCTTGGAGGTGTTTCATCCGAAAGTTCTTCAAGAGAAGAATTGCTGTTCAGTGATGTTGAAGATGATGAATTTGACACACTTTGTGTTGCAGTGAATGCACTGGGAGATGCACTGGAGTCGACCCTTGTCTCTGCATTTGGGGAAACTTCAACTGTAATCTTTTGCTACTCCTGTTCTTTACTCCAATCCCAACTCACGTTTTCATTAAATATCACATCCCTTCTAACTAAAATCTTTTCACTGATGGGGTTGTATAATTTATATGCCTTTGATTGAGTACAATAGCCAATGAAAATGCATTTTTCAGATTTTTCATCCAGCTTTTGATGAATTTGAGGATGTTTCAAAGCATAAGCAACACAGCCAAAGATTCGTAAATGACTTATAGATGGTTTCCTTCCATGCCATGCTTCATAAGGAGTTCAATTCATAACCGCCTTTGTTGGTGAGATGTTTAATAGATAAACAAATGTTGCTACGGCTTCTGCCCAAAATTGATTTGGAAGTCTCCTTGCTTGTAACATACTTCTTGCCATCTCCACAATAGTTCGATTTTTTCGTTCAGCGATTCCATTTTGTTATGGAGTGTAGGGAGCTGTTAACTCTCTTTGGATGCCCTCTTCTTCACAAAACAAATTAAACTCTTTAGATATGAACTCGCCACCTCTGTCTGTGCGAAGAACTTTAATGTGACAGCCACTTTGGTTCTCCACCATAGCTTTAAAAATCTGGAACTTCTGAAAAGTTTATGACTTATGTTGTAGGAAGTAAATCCAGCTCATGCGACGACTATAGTCATCAATAAATAGTCAAAAGTATATACTACCACCCAAGGACTTCGTTTGCATTGGCCCACATAAATCAATATGAATTAGTTCTAGATAATGTGAAGCTCTTTTCGCTTTTACAACAGGAAAGGACTTCCTAGTCTGCTTGCCATAAATGCATCCTTCACACAAATTAGTTGAATCAATTCTTGGTAATCCGAAAACCAAACCTTTATCCCTGAGTATTTTCAGGCCGTTCATATGAAGATGTCCATATCTGAGATGCCATAATGTTGAGTCATCTTTCATGCTAGTAGTAAGAGCAAAATCCTCCATGTTAGACACATGGAGGGGAAACATCTTATTTGAAGTCATGACAATTTGAACTTTATGGCCTGATTTCTTATGTGTAATGACGGTTGTGTTGTCATCAAATAGAACTGAATGTCCTCTAGTCATCAATTGTTCAACCCTCAATAAATTGTACCATAAATCAAGTACAAATTGAATATTATCTAATTGTTTTATCTTACCATTACTGGTTTCGACTTTCACTGTACCTTTGCCTTCAACTTGCATCTCTTTTGTATTTCCAAGTTGCACCTTAATCTTTTGTGTCTCTAGGATTTGGTGCCTTGTCATATGGTTCGAGCATCCGCTATCAACAAACCATAAGTCACCTTTTTTCGGATTAGTATCCATGCACGCCACAAACATCTTTTCTTCTTCTTCTTCATTCTCTGCTGCAAATTCATTCGTTGATTTTTATATCAACAATCAGATTTTGTGTGCCCATACCTTCTGCAATGGTAACATTGTATGACATTCCTTTGTTCATTGAATTGTCTCTGTCCATCACTTCTCCATCTACCCCTGTTATCACGACCACTATGGAAGTTACGAAATCCTCCTCTTCCACTACTTCTACCTGATAAATGAATATTTTCTCTTTCGTTGTTTTTGTGGTTGGTTGTCTCTTTCACTTGAAGTGCCTTTTTTTCGTTCTTTTCTAATGATCTATTGATTCTTGCCTCATGAGCCTGAAGCGAGCCCATCAGTTCATCAACGGAGAATATGGATAGATCCTCAGCTTCTTCTAAGGCAACCACCACATGGTCAAACTTTGGAGTCAAGCTTCTCAACACCTTTGCAACAATTGTTTCGTCTGAAATTTTCTCTCCATAAGTACGCATCTGACTGACTATTGTCATTGCTCTTGACAAAAAATCAGCAATTGATTTGCCATTCGTCATGAGTAGAGTTTCAAAATCACGTCTTAGAGATTGCAATTTCACTGTCATGACCCTTGAATCTTCTAGAAACTTCTTCTGTAGAATTGACCATGCCTACTTTGATGTGGTTGCTGCTGCAATTCGTGAAAAGAGTCTCATGAACTGCTTGCTGAATAATGAATAGAGCCTTGGCATCGTTTTTCTTGGTTTCTCTTAGTCTCTCCTTTTCTTCTATTGAGGGTTCTAATACATCAACAAACCCGTGCTCCACCAAGTCCCATAGCTCCTGCGATCTGAGCAAGGTCTTCATCTTGATGCTCCACCACTCATATTTCTCACCATTAAAGATTGGTAACAACTGTGCAGAAGAAAAACTAGCTACTGCCATTTTTGTTTTGTGAAAGAAAATAATCACTCGCCCTTGTGTCTAACGAACTTGGCTCTGATACCAAAATTGTTGGAAGAAAGAATAGTGAAAGAGATGTGAAAAGATAGAATTGATGAAAGCTCCAGTGCTTTATTATTGTCTATTGACTTGATGCTCAGAGGGATACACTTCTAGTATTTATAGCTTATACTGGATCAGAAATAGTAAATCATGGAAATCTAGATAAATTCAAATCTAATAACAATATCCTAAAATCTTGTTAGTTTGAATATTTGAATCATATCTCACACCTTTATGTAATTTTCTTTCGTACTGAGAAGATCTTGGCTGGCTGGACAATGAAATCAATAGGCTCTTCAATTATTTTATTGAGAGAAATATCCTCTTCGACTCTCCTCTATTGTACGGAAAGTTTACTTGGTTGAATAGTAGGGCACGTAGTAGACTTCATAGGTTACTAATATCTAAAGGGTAGACGAATATTCATGGGAGTGTGAGACAATTGCTAGGCCCTAGAATAACCTTCGACAGGTGTCCAGAGGTGATGATTGTGTCTTTCATATTTGAAAATATTTGGTTGGACCGTACCTCCTTATAATCTTCCTTTCCTTCATGTTGAATGCGGAAACCAATCGAAATTAAGAAATTCGGAACGGTATCTTCCATGGGGAAGCTAAGGGTCCTCAAAGGAGTGTCATTGTGGAACAAAGACTCACGTAGGAGTTTTAAAATTCTGGAAATTAAAAAGCTCAAAACAAAGCCCTTTTGGTTAAATGGTTATGCCAATTTCCCCTTGAGTCGATAGAGGACTATAGCAAGCAAATAGGGTCCTCATCCTTCTGAGTGGATGTCAGGTGGGTCAAAGGCACTTGCAAAAATATTTGGAAAGAAATTTCCGATGAGCTACTTTCTTTCTTTCACTTGGTCCCTTGTTTTGTGGCTGATGGGGAAGATAAGTGTTTTTATGAGAACAAGTGAAAGGCGATGGAACCCTCTATGGTACGTTGTCTCGTTTATATTGACATAATTTTAATCCTGGAAGGGTAGGTTTACGAAAGTTTAGGGACCATTCCTTTTTCAACTGCATTTAAGTGATTTACATCTGCTGTATGTTGGCTGTTGGCGTTTCGAGTTCCCAAGTTTAGTAACTGCACAAAAATTTTCTTTATCTAAAAACAGTCTCACGAGATCATTGTCACTCGAAAGTGACATCCAGTGCAGACCTGAGGAAATAAATCTTAGAACAGGATCTCTAGTATTAGACTTCTTAAATTACCCCATTGTCTGTTTGAAGGTGCGCATCATTGGAAAAGGGACGCCTGTTTCTTTTTGCGTACTGATGAGGCCTGCACTTCCTTCCAGCATCAATTTTATTGAAGTAATTTGAATTTAAGCCTCCTCCTTAAAGCCATTGTAACCTTCAGTCCTATAGTAGGAAATGAATTTCATGTTGTTCCTTTTACATTTGCTTTCTCTAGACCTCTAGGAAAAATTTGAAAAAGAAAAACCTTAGAATGATATGATTCCTTCTTTAATGACGCGATTTTTGATGCCTTGAATCACAGGTCACCACGTGCACTTGAACTTAAAAAGAGGTGGTATTTTTTTTTTATGTAAAGCGGGAGACACAAGGAATTTAAAATTCAAATATGCATTCAAAACAACATAAAGGTAGTTTGAAGGTAATATCCGTGAGGTTAAGTCAAAACGGTTTACCAAAAAAATTCATGAAGTTTCGATAAATAGCATTTAAAATAATAATAAAATGACAAAAAGGAAGACGACTCGATCTAAAGGGCACCCCCTATAGCTGCACAGTGTCACAGTCATGCTTGTCCTAGGTGTGTTGCCCATGCATGCCCGTTGCATGCCAAAACCCTTGTGTTGTATCACTTCAATGCTTTCCCTGCTTTCATGATGTATAGTTTATTTATTGTATTTTCTAGGTGTATGATGTTTCAACAAAATCATGTATATGCCTGATAGACCTGAAATGCCTCAAAATGTAGCATAGGGAGATGTGACTAATCGTCAAATCTTCATACTCGGAGTTATATACTATCTAAGCCATTGTGTTGCCTTTTTCGCTTATAGCCTATAACATTGCTTTGTTCATTTCTCTCAATCTTGTTTTCAAATTCCCTTTCTAAAATCTCTCTCTGGTGGTGTTTTCTAAAACTTTTTCCTTAAAGCAAGGCCAAAGGCTTGAGTATACGTTGTCAGGAAGAAGGCAACATGGTTTCGAGTTGGCGGACTCACTCGATATTGAGAGTGAGTGCTGCACAATCGCCTAAAAAACATTCCGTAAGATTGCGATTGTGACAGTTGGTATTAGAGTCGAGTTGGCACTAAAAGTGATTCGGTAAAAATGGCTACAACCAAGCAGTTGAACAAGTCCCACGTCGATTGACTAGTCGACAACGAAGAAGAGATGCAATTCTTGTGAGAAGTTCCTTACAATGTTCAGTACTTGGACAAGCGGGTGAAAAAGTGATTCGGTAAATATGGTTGTTGTAGTTGCAGGTTGATTAGATGAGTTACCCATCCAGGAACTTATGTACCGAGTAGACAACCTAAAAGCAAAAGCCACAAAGACTGGTGGCTTCGAGCGAGGAGACAGCTCGACGGGCTTGACAGCTCCTAAAAAGGAGTTATGCAGATGGTCTCTGAGATATTTGACGATGTGAAATTAGCCTTCGACGTGGTCAGGGCAGAAATTGTTAGGAATCACGACTCTCCAAAATGGTATGATATTGTCCATTTTGAGCATAAGCTCTCATAGTTTTGCTTTGGGCTTCCCCAAAAGGCGGTTCCAATGGAGATCTATTCTTTGCTTATAAACCCATGATCCTTCCTTAAATTAGTCAATGCAGGACAAACTCCCAGTTCAGTTCTACAAGATCAAGGTTCTGGAGCCCAAACCCTTCTATGGGGTTTGAGATGCCGAGGTTCTAGCGACCTTGATCAATACTTTTGGGCGATGAACACAGCAACAGAGGAAGCAAAGGTCACCTTGGTCACCATACATCAAGCCGAGGATGCAAAATTTTGATGGACATCGAAGTACATTGATATTCAATTGGGCCAGTGCACAATAGACAAATGGAAAAGACTGAAACAAGAACTTCGATCTCAATTGTTCCCAGAGAATGTTGAAATCTTGGCTAGAAGGAAATTGCGGGATCTCAAGCACACAAGAAACATTTGAGAGTATGCCAAACAGTTCTCAGGGTTCATGTTGGACATCTGAAATATGTTCGAGAAAGACAAGATCTTCCACTTCATAGAAGGACTAAAGCCATGAGCAAAGTCCAAACTATATGAGCAAAGTTCAAACTATATGAGCAAAGAATACAAGACCTCTCCACAACCTATGCTACAGCTGAACGATTGTTTGATCTAAGTAACGAACAATTCCAAGATATAAGGCGAAGCCAAACCTCCTCGAGTGGATTGTTTGATATGAGCTGAACGATTGTTTGATTTGAGCTAAACAATTGTTTGATTTGAATCTACCATTTTACTTTTGGCCAATTTATGATTGACCCATGGTTCTACCCACATGAGACCTTTTTCGATCGGCTCTTTTGACTCCCCTACTTTCTTTTGTAGGGCAGATAGAAACTTTAGGGCCCCATACAAGGGTTTGCTCTGTTCTCCGACGACGACTTTTTGGTTTTCCCACCTTCTGACTTTGCCTCTAAGTCTGTGTCCAAAGCTGCTTGGAAGGCTTGTAGGGCCGCTTTCTTGGGGCACTCGTATACTCTATGGTTCTCTCTACATAAGGAGGGAAGTAGCCGATTGAAGTAATTTTGATGGGGTAGGGCCCTCGGCCTAAGACTAGTTTCAGGAAAATCACCCTAGGTTGGCCTGGTGGTCATCAAGGGACATGTAAACAATAAAAGACAAAATAAACTAGCTCTAACCATAGTAGCCGCTTACACAAGATTTAATATCCTACAAGTACCTTGACAACCAAATGTAGTTGGTAATAATCCTACAGGTACCTTGGTTGTGAGAATACTCAAAGTGCTTGTAAGCTTCCCATACACTAATGATATTAGAGATAACAGGAGTTCTAGGGAACACTGGATATAAAAATGTGAAATTCCTAATTTCATCATAAGCTTAGATTTCAATAATGTTTACAAACTGAGTCTAAACAAAATTCGAATTGGAGAGAATTTTAGCCAATATCTATTGTGAAACATTAAAAAAAATTTGTACACTTCACAATAACTATCAATCCATGCTAATTTATCTATTCCAATATAGAATATAGAAAATTTTATGTTTTACTTCTCCCAATCTTAACTGGGGAGAACTTGGTGTGGGTTTTAGACGGTTGTGGCTAAACATTTCTCTACGTTTATGCTGGTAGTAAATGCCAACAAGCTTTCGAGTCCCTCTTTAGGCTCAAAACTAAGCTGCAGAGTGAACGTATTGAAGAGGTATCTAGGGAATCCGTGTTATTGAGAGGACTCTAAGCGCACAATCCTAAAATACATCCTTAGCCATCTTTGGAAGATTCTTATACCTCGTAAAATTTACCTTCCACAATTCTAAGATGTCAAACCAGTGTGCCCCGGTATTCCCCAACATCCCGTGTCGTAGTTGAGCTATTTTCTCTTCGCTTCTAAGAGTGAAAACTATCCCCATAGACTAACATAAGTCCTTCTAGCATGCTTTGTTCTCACTCACATACAACTAAAAGAAAATTTTCAAGAAGTCACCCAACATAGAATTGCTCCAAGCAAAATACGTTTAACTGGAGTTTATATGATTGAGCCACCGAAAAGGAACGTACACCTTATTGGTTTAAGTAGTAACTTTCCATTCTTTTAATTCTTCATTAGTTATCCTATCCTTAAGATCGCTCTCATTCATTATCCTAATCTTTACTCAAAATATTTTCATTCTCTTTTTCCATCGCTTCTATCCTTTCAATTCTTTTACCAAGTTTTTAAAATTATTCCATGATAT